TTTGTTTGTTTTTTTTTTTTTTTGCGGGGGGAGGTAAGCAGGTATCTATGCAATTTTATTTTATTGTAATGACCTGCCAAACACGGACTGATGAGACACACAGCTGGTTTCTGAGTTTTGCTCATGGAATGTAGGCCTTGCTGATTTTCCCGCCTGTTGCTGAGTTTCCCGCCTGTTGCTGAGTTTTCTAAGTCTGTGTGTGTGTGTGTGTGTGTGTGTGTGCGTGCTTGCTGGTCTGTGTGCCTGTCTGAGTGCTTGTCGGCTTGAGTGCGTCGTAACGTTCGGCTATGTCCGACATTTTTGTGCCATGTCGCATTCACTACTACGGCTTGAGTGTGTGTGTGTGTGTGACCCGCAAGGGCACTTTGTTCGTTCAGAAGACCCGAAGCGTCGGTACTTACCTGTGGCCGTGACATTGAGGGTTGCAGCGGGGAAAACACTCAAGTGGCGGGGAAAGAGACTCCCAGGACACTTAGAGCAGCGGAAAACACTCAAGTAGCAGGTAGGCCGGTACCACACCAAGTAGAGGTAGATGTGCCGGGTACTCGAGGCCGAGCAGAAGAAGACAAAAGTTGGCATTTCTAGAGGCCCAGTTGTTGTAGGCTAGGTCTAGGCGGGTACCAGTCCAACCAGTCTGGGTCGAGGGCCTGTGCGGGCAATATCAGAGTCTGCAATGATGTTTCCCTCTGAAAGGGAGGAGGTATCGGTTGCTTGGAGGCCGCGCGGCCTAGAAAGTCACTCGCCAAGAGGCAAGCAGGCCGCTATATCTCCAGGAGGAGCAAAGTGATCCTCCTCATTGTTGGTGTGCAAGTTTGGCGACTCACTGGTTGGAGCACCAGCTGGAGCAGCGCTAGCACTCAGCGCAGCGCTGCAGGGGAAGGAGCAAGGATCGAGAGAGAAGGACAAGGACGAGGAAGAGGGACAGCGCCAGAGGTACTTAGCTGGCTATGGTGGATGCCATCTTCATCACCTCGGTGGGTGCTGCATCTGGAAGGCCCCAGTTCGGGTAGAGCTACACCAAGAAGTTTCGAGGCAGAGTCAGGCATGGCGGCCTGAGCTAGAGCAGCCATAGCTGCTTTGTGTTGTCCTTTGCACAGCAGGGCGATGCCCTGGTAGTCTGCCATAGCCTCGGCCATCGAAGGAGGAGGAAGAAGGGTGGCCATGGCTATGGTGGTCCTCATGTGATACCTGCAGTAGAAGAGGGATTCGGACATTGATTCTGGTTCAGCCATTCAACATTATTATTCTTATTTCTTGTTTGAATAAGAGGGGAGGAGATAAGGAGGAGGAGAGTGTTGGTGAAGAAGAAGGGAATTCTCATTGGTGTTTGCTGGTGTTCTTCTTCTTCTTCTTTCTTCTTCTTCTTCTTCTTCTTCTTCTTCTTTCTTCTTTCTTCTTCTTCTTCTTCTTCTTCTTCTTCTTTCCTTCTCTCTCCTCTCAAGTTCATTCATTTCTTTTTGCAATTGGACGGCATTGTACTTTCGCATGAATGTGTACTTCGAAATGGGCCAGGATCATAACATTATTCTAAAATCATATTGTTGTACTCTTGCGTTTTGTTCATCTGTCGTTCTATTTTTGGAGAAGCTCCACTCTTGCTTGCCTGTTTGTATCTGCCCCGATTTCTAAGGAGCCTGCTCAACTGGTGCTGTGTTTTTATGGCCAGCTTCGTGCTTCCCACAAAGCACGAACCTGGCCAGAAAAAGCGGCCTTCTTCGCACAAAATATAGCATCACGTGGGCTTGACCCTGAGTCTCACAAGGATCTGAACTGCTGCACAAACTGCTCAGCCGCCGCAGACTGAAGCCGATGAACTTCTACTCATTTGACGTCAAGAACGTGCGAACAAGGCCGCTTTTTATGGCCAGGTTCGAGCAGACCAAAAACGTGCGAGCAAGGCCGCTTTTTATGACCAGGTGCGAGCAGACCAAAGCCGATAAACAAATACGTCAAAATTATGGGGCTAGTGGTGGGTGGGAAAAGGGCTACCCCGCTGGCATGATAAATGTGGGGGCGTGTTGTGAAATGCATTGTCTAGCTTTTTATGGCCAGGTTCGAGCAAGACTAGCATCAACTATCAGCTTTTTTACTAGCATGTGTCTTGCATTTGTAGGAATTTGACGTCAATAAATTTAAAAATAAATTTCAAAATAATCTTCTTTAATAATGTGCAATGCCATAGGACATTCAGTTCTAATTTGGAATTCCTTAATTTTTGAGAATTTTTTTAAAACCACTAGTAAGTACCTTTGCCGCGCGGGAAAATAGCGGGCCTCCGGGAGGGCCACCGACCTTTTCGGAGGGCCGAAACGAAACGACGGCCACCGATCAGATTTATCAATGGCAGCCGTCGTCGGTCGGGCCCGGCCTCCAAATTTTTAGGAGTTTGGGAAAACTGCCACCACCTTTTCCCTATTTCGAATTTTCACAACACTGGCGGAGGTACTACTGGTTCAAGACTCGAAGAAATTTGAGGAAGTACTGTATTGGATTTTGAAGTTTTGAGAACTTTTTTAAAAGAACATTTGAAGTTCTAGAATGACAGAATCCAGGATATTCATTTAAAATTTTTGTTTTTTCCCGTTCTGTCATTTTCTGTGTTGATCGGGACCGGGGAAACTGTGACAGGAGTGTTTGAAGTTCTGATATATATATATATATATATTTTAAGACTCAAAATTTGAGGAAGTACAAAGTTCTAGAATGTGATAGAAATTCATAGAATCCAGTATATATTCATTTAATTAAAAAAAAAAGAAGTTTGGTTTTCCAACTTTTCCTGTTCTGTCGGTTTTTTTTTTTTTTGTGTGGTGATCGGGACTGGGGAAACTGTGACAGGAACGTTTGAAGGAAATGATATGCACGCCGAAGACCGTGGCTCGTCGAAATTTATACCGATTGACCGCCTCCAAGCAGATGGCTTTGTCGTCGCCGACACTCTCATCGTTGGCGCGGGCATTTCGAGAGCACAATGGGTAAATTTGAAAAATAACGCGAAAGCTCAAAGTGGCAAGTGGCAAGTGTTCTATGAAATTTTATTATTTAATTTTTAATTTACTGCTTTTTCCTATCCCTTTCTCTTCCTTTCATGTTTTTTTTTTTGAAAGGGTTTACAAGTCTCAGTACACCAAGTCCCAGTCCCAAGTCCCGGTCTTGAGTCCCGGTCCTCGCCGCATCTTACGGTTTTCATGAATGCTTAAGAAGAGTAGCTTGCGTTTGCGAAATGATTACAGATGCCTAGGAAGATGAGTAATAGCGAACTTCAGCAATCAAACAGCATCATACATATGAGTCCAGATAGTCTTGACCTCAAACCAGTAGCAGAATTGCATCACGAGATACACCAAATGAGAACACACCAAGAGTTCATAGTTGACAATGCTGAAGTAGTCTCATCATCATCAACCAAGAACCAGAGTTGATATCCTATTGGCGCTCGGCGCCCAGACTACACGTGGCAGATCCTATCTAGCCTATACTACGAAGCTGAAAGATGACATCAACAGCGTTCCCGAAGTACGAGCACATGGCGACCAATGTCGCACGCTTCAGCACCAGGTATGTCTCGCGCTACACTCACAACCTCGTTCCCCAACTCACAGATGCCACTAGCACCCAAGGACCATCCTGCGCTTCACCCAGCATACAGCAGCGCAGCTCGGCTATGGCTGCGTGCTCCTTCCCTGCTCGCCCGTGAGAGCGTAGGCGCCAGCCAGCAAATAGCGCAGCAGCAGCGCTTGCGCAGCATGCAGCCAGCACCAGAATGCCGAATGAGGAGGCAGGCCCTTCCCTATATCGAAGTGGCCTGCCTGCGTCCAGTCCAGGAAGCTTCCAGTAGGCCCTGGTAGCCTGAGGCCCAGTCACGAGGAAAGCAGACCTTGGGCCTGAAGTGGTTGCATGTGCTCAACTGCTTTCGGCCTGTGTTTGGCCCGGTACCCGTATCCAGCCCAGGGCCTGCTTCACGTACATGCACACAGGCGGCCCAGGGCCTGGGTTCAATCAACTAACTGGCGCTGCGCAACTGCCTGAATTTCCCTGAGTTGCGTGGTGGCCAGAGAAGGGCCCTGAGGGCCTCGTCGAGCCTGCCTTCACTTAGGGCGGCCGACGGGCTGCAAAAATAGGGGCCTTATGGGGCTCTTAGAGGCAGTGGCCTCGCACTGTGTTCACCCAAATACAACGTATGGTGACTCTTGCTGTATCTAGACTCAAAGTTGCCCCAAATACGGATATAATGACGGGACGATGTACGTTGTACGCGGGTTCTTGTATCTAGACTCAAAGCTGCCCCCAATACAGATATAATGACCGTACCATGTACATTGTATCAGGTCAAGACAGTAGGTAGGTTAGTTAAGTGGGCTGTGGTAGGAACGCGCTGGTAGACAAAAGTTATGGGTCGAAAACGACGGAAAGTCTATTTGAACGAATTCGGGAGGGACAGCAAATAATCTTCAGCAAGGATAGCAGAAGCCGTTAAGCCAAGTGTCAGGCAGTCCACTCAAGCAGCCAGATCCTAGGAAATTCCGTAAACTTCCATAAGCAGCAATCAAAGGCAGAATAAAAGTAAGGGAACCGAACCGACCAGCAGAAGAAGAGTGAAAGCCGGAGGAGCAAGGACAAAAGTCCAGCAGAGCTTGGACGTCAACAAACTTATGCTTCGCACTCTGTGCAGAAGCGCTGCTGCGGTCTTGTGCGTTGGAGTGACGGCAGAGGAAGTGAGAGTGAGCATAGGGCAGTGTAGTTGATGGTGCTGGGCGCCATGGCCGTAGCTGTAGGATGAGAGAGAGAGAGAGAGAGAGAGAGAGAGAGAGAGAGAGAGAGAGAGAGAGAGAGAGAGAGAGAGAGAGAGAGAGAGGCTTACCGGCATGTTGAGTTGGGCAGCCATAGCCACCGGTGGCGAGAAGACAAGTGAGTTTGGTGTTGGTTACGGAGAATATTTGGGGCTTTGTATCACCTGTGTGTCTCATCTGTGTGCGATGTGGTGCGAGGCTTGCGTTCGAGTGTTCCGTGCATGGTGGTCCCATTGCAACGCTTACTTTTCCTGATCCTTTTTTTTAATTTTAATATCGCTTTTTTTCTCACAAACAACCTAAACAGAAAAAAAGCAAGAGGAGGAGGAGGAGGAGGGAGAGGAGAATGAGAAAGCCAAGCCAAAGACATATTCGTAGTGTTGTGGAAGAAGGAGAGGAGAGAGCTAGGATGAGGAAGAAGAGAAGGAGAAGACGAGAAAAAGGAAGGAAAGCGAAGTAAAGGAAAGGAGAGGACAGGGATGAAGATCGGAGCTTTTTTTTATTAAAAGAAAAAACAAAAAAAAGGGATGAAGCAAGGAGGGAGAGACGGAGTGGGATGGGTGGGGACCACCACATCCAAGTAGAATCCAAGTAGACAGCACTTGATCATGCACACGGAGTACACAACAAATTCTGCGAAGGCATCTGGAATTAATTCCAGAATTAATTCTGACGCAGGAGTCAAGGGTGGCCTGTGTAGAAAGCAAAAGGAAAGGGGGACGTGAAGGAAACGTAAAGGATGTTATAGCCATGCGAAAAACACCATGTGACGATAAAAAAATAATAATAATAATAAGAAGAAGAAGAAGAAGGAAAAAAACGCCATAGGAAAACAAAAGGAAAGGCGGAGGTAGGAAAGAGGGTAGCACGAATGTTATAGCCATGTTGTATCCATGTTATAGGCATGTTATGTTCGTGTTATAGACAGGGAATGGTGGTTATAGTCATGCTACGCCCAGGGGACGGTGGTTATAGCCATGGAAGGATGGCTAGCCATCCTATAGCCAGGGGATGATGGATATAGCTATGCTATAGTCATGCTATGGTGGTTATAGCCAAGCAGCCCGATAGTTCCGCGTTGTGGTCCAAGAATTGTGCTCAGCACTTCGGACTTCAAAGCCTGTTCTGTTCAACAAGGACTGAATTAAGTTTTCCAACCTCGGAAAGAGGAGAAATGACTGTAATACACACACACACACACGCACACACACACACACACACACACACACACACACACACACACACAGAGAGAGAGAGAGAGAGAGAGAGAGAG